CTTGTGTGGTTTTTCCTTTAATGGTTGTTTTGGTTTAGGTTTTTTGGGGGTGAATTTTGTTTTGTTTTATTATACTGGTTTTGTTACAAAGTTCGAATACATTGTTTTTCACACCAAATCTTTCCCTTTTACTTCACCCCCACCCACCCGTCTGCTCCCCTTCTCTCCCCTCTGGATCCTCCTACTCATTCTACACTAATGGTTTTATACAGTATTTGTTCTTAAGGGTCTGAGTTCACTTTAGAAAAATGTTCTTCAGTCCCTTCCAAGTTAGATAGTAATTTACAAAATCATTGCTTCTGCATGCTACATCAATCCATCCCATTGGGGCTGGACATTTGTGCTGTTTCCATGTTCTTATGATAGTGAATAATGCCGCTATGAACATTGGTGTACAAGTCTCCCTTTGAGCCCCAGTTCTCACTTTCATGGGATATATTCCAAGCAGTGGAATAGCTGGATCATATGGAATGTCTATGTTCAGCTTTTTGAGGAAGCGCCAAACTGCCTTCCAGAGCAGTTGTATCTTTATATAATCCCACGAACAATGTATAAGACTTCCTATCTTGCTATATTCTCTCCAATATTTATTACTTCCTGTCCTGTTAAACTTTACCACTGCTACTGAAGTGAGATGGTATCTCATTATGGTTTTGATTTGCATCTCTCTAATTACCAGTGATCTGGAGCATTTCTTTATGTGTCTTTTGGCCATCTGAATATCTTCCTCTGTGAAAAGTCTTTCCATGTCTTTTGTCCATTTTGTTATTGTGTTATCAGTCTTTTCCTTGTGGAGGCCCAGTAGGATTCTGTAAACTTTTGATATGAGACCCTTGTCTGAAATGGTATTGCCAAATGTTTTTTTCCCCCAGTCAATTGGTTTTCTTTTCACTCTGCTAGAAAATGTTTTTTGATGAACACATGGATTTAATCTTTAAAAGGTCCCATTCATCATTTTTATCCTCTTCAGGTTGTGCATTTTTGGCTGTATTTGGCAGTCTCTCTATAACGTAGATGAGGCCTTCTAAGCTTGAGCCTAGTTTTTCTCTTATGAACTTTATGGTTTTGGGCTTTGCTCTCAGGTCTCTGATCCACCTTGAGTTAATTTGTGTGTATGGTATGAGATGTGGATCCTATTTTAGCTTTCTACAGTTAGCAGTCCAGTACCATTTGTTGAAGAGATTGTCATTTCCCCGTTTGATAGGTTTTATTGCCATATATCAGTTGACCAAAGGTAGTTAGGTCTATTTCTGTTGTTTTGATTACTTCTACTGTGTAACAGGCTTTGAGGTCAGGGAGTGCTCCCACTTCATTTTTGTTTTTCAGAAGTGTTTGACTTATTTAGGGTCTCTTTCCTCTCCAAATAAATGTGACAATTCCCTTTCAATCTCCTTGAAAAATGAATTTGGTATCTGTATTGGTATTACATTGAATAAGTAAATTGCTTTTGATAGGATTGTCATTGTCACAATATTGAGTCTTCCTACCCATGAACAGGGTACATTTCCCCATTATTTTAGGTCTTTTATTGTGTCTTGCAGAAATTTTCTGTAGTTTTCTTTGTATAGGTCTTTTGTATCACTAGTTAGGTTCACTCCCAAGTATCTCAATTTGTGGTTGGCTGTTGTAAATGGTATTGCTTTCTTGATTTCCTTTTCTGAGTTCTCTTCATTACTGTAGAGCAATCCCACTGATTTTTGGATATTGATCTTACATCCTGCCGCTCTACTAAATTGGCCCACTAACTCTAACGGAATTTTTTGTGGAGTCCTTGGGGTATACTTTGTACACTATAATATCATCTGTATATAGTGATAGTTCAATCATCTTTTTGTTGATCTGGATGCCTTTTATTTCCTTCTCTTGTCATATTACCCTACCAAGCACTGAATAGAAGTGGTGACAGTGGGCATCCTGTCAAGTCCCTGTGCGCAGGGAAAATTGCTCAGCATTTCTTAAGCTGAAGGAACTGAAGAACAAATTCAAGCCTTGAGGTGCAATACTAAAGGATGCTTTGGGAATACTGCAGGAATGTCTATCTGTGTTTCATTGGCTATGCAAAGGTATTTGACTGTGTGGATCACAACAAATGATGGCTAACTCTGAGAATGAGAATCCCAGAACATTTGATTGTACTTATGTGCAACCTGTATTTAGACCAGTAGACAATCATCAGAACAGAGCAAGAAAACACTACATGGTTCAAAGAGTATGTACTATTGGCAAATATTGTTCTTTGTTGATGTATGCCATCACATAAGAACTGACCCTCCAGTTAACTTTCTGAGGAAGTAAACCAAGCACAAAGAAGGAAATTGCATACCCTGTCATGGACCAGCTGATGAGTTACCACTAGGCCACCAGAGTTTGTTGGCAAGAAGTTTGTTGTTATGTCCCATTAAGTCAACTGGGACTCATAGTGACCCTATGTACAATAGCTCTGAACTCTGCTCTATCCTGAGCCAGGCTCACTCTGAAACACCTAGCTCCATTACCCCAATTATTATGTCAATCTGTCTCATCCAGGCTCTTCATCTCCTGCACTGTCCCTCTACCCTTCCAAGCATGATGTCCTTCTCCAGGAACTGGTCCCTACTGGCCACATGCACAAAGTATGTGAAACAGAGCATCAAAATCCTTGCCTCCAAGGAGCAGCCTGGTTTACCCTCTCAGGGATAAGCCTTTTCCCAAAGCAATTTGTCCTTTGATTTCTTCACTGCTACGTCTCAAGTCCAGACCAGCCCTTGGAGAGGGACAACACGCTTGGAAGGGTGGAGGGAAGGCACAGGAGAGGAATACCTTCAATGAGATAGATTGATTCAGTGACTGGGGTAATGGGGGTAGCTGTGTCAGAGGCAATAGGATTGGCACAGAATGGAGCAGGTTTTAGGGTTGCTGAGTCGCAGGTGACTAGACAGCACATAACAACAACAAGTGCCAAAAGGGTTGATTGTGTAGCAAAACAAGCTGAAACTGTTAACAATGGCAATTTCTTCTCCATCATATACTGCCCATTGGCCCAGTGATGAGAATCTTTGTTTTCTTGACATTGAGCTTCATTCCATATTGAAGACTGCATTCCTTTGCCTTCTGTAGCAAACGCTTCTGGTCCTCCTCAGTTTCTATGAGCAAGGTTGTGTCCTCTGCATAACATAGGTTGTTGATAATTCTTTCTCCAATCCTGATGCCACATTCCTCTTCATAAATATCCAGCTTTCTGAATCATCTCT